GCTCAAAGCCGCCGAGAAGCTTGCCGGCGAACTGCACGACGAGTTGACGTTCCTCAAGGAGCAAGAGTCGACGCTGTCCAAGGAAAACAAGGTGCTCTCCACACAACTCACCGAGTTGCGCCTCCAGGCCGAGAAACCCGGCTACGACGCGAAGGAGAGTCAGATCACCATCGACATTCTCAAGGAGCAGGGCGCGGACCAGCGCAGCGAGCTTGAGGAGTTGCGCAAGACGCTCGAGCAGCTTAGGGCAAATAAGCCCGATGCCGCGCAGGAGGACAAGGAGAGGAGGAAGCAGGAGAAGATGGCGCTTAAGGTGGCCCAGTTTGATGCGCAGGGTGCTTTGAAGGACGAGCAACTTCGTGCCCTTCTGGCGAAGCTCGACGCGGACGATGCGCCGTCATCCCTTACGAGCGAGGACATTGCCTCAATCCGTCGGCAGCTCGCAGATGGCCAGGCTTTGGTCAGGGATACCGTCGACCGCCTCCGTCAGAAGCAGGAGGAGGGCGAGCTGGCAGCGCGGAGGCGCGACGAGCTTGAGACGCGGGTATCGGCGCTCGAGGCGAAATACGAGGAGCTACTGGAGAAGACGATCCGTGACGAGGAGACAAGCAATGTGGACGTCACAGGCTCTCTCGGAATGTGCGTCAATCAAGCATCGATGCGCATCGCGCTCACGTTGTGGAGCATACACCATCGGAGAAGGTTCGGGAGGTCGTTCTCCCGGACTATACGTGGCCGACGACAGGACGGACGGCAGAATACTATGTGTATTTGACGATACGATACGAGACGCGAGGAGGAGAAGACTTGCTTTCACATTATCAAAGCGAGGGAATGTCACGAGGAGCGGTTTAATACGATAACAAGCCCCAACATGCATCCGACAGCCGCCGCCAGTGTAGACTGCGGCCGGGGCGAGCGCTTGCCCTGCTGCCCGACAGCGTCGTCGTCGAACGGCCTCTTCGGTTAGCCACGCGTTGACGTGGCGCGCCTTAACTCATGCAGCGGACGACCACCGGGGATCTTCTTCACGTACAATATTGCGTGTTCGTACAAGGTCTAGTCGAAAACCCGCATGAATGCATACGACGAAACCCACCGCATCGACCTCCGACCGTCGCCGTCAGTGTAGACTGCGGCCCCGAATCCCTCCAGCCGTACCAACCACGCGGGGGCATGAGCCATCTTGAGTGCGCCATCGCAGCCCGACCTCGACCTCGACCTCGACCTCGACGGCCGGCGTACGCAAATGGTGTCTCCGTTGAGCTTTGTACGCATGACGGCGGAACTCGGGCCCTGTGTCGCGCCGATGGGATGGGCCAATCTCGTTAGTCTGGACGTATCGTCTGTTTCGGATGCGCTAGCTCTTTCCAACGATAGGATCAAAACTCGCCGAGGTGGAAAGGGGGCCACGTGGCTCTGGAGAGAGGGATTGAGCGGAGGCCGACGACGCGATGGACT